GTCAGCAGCGCTCCGCCAGCACTATACACAGTGCAGGTAGAGCACCGCTTTCCCCTACTGAGACGCCTGACGGTTTGCCAGAATCTCTTCGAGGCAGTCCAAAAGTCTTTTTCCATGGCCTCTCCGAACTCCTCCCACACCTGAGTTTTTGCTTCAGCCACTGCCCGAGCCACATTTTGCTTGGCCTGTCGGTACCTGTCAGCTGCTTCCGAAGTCCCACAGGCTAACCAAGCCCGATAGGACTCCTTCTTCAGCCTTGTGGCTCCCTTCACCTCTTGTGTCCACCATTTGGTTCGGGGGTTACCAACACGACAGGCACCAACCACCTTATGGCCGCAGCTCAAAGCAGCAGCTTCGGCAATGGAGATGCTGAACATGGTCCATTTAGACTCAATGTCCCCAGTCTCCCTCGGAATGCTGTTGAAGCTCTGCCAGAGGTGTGCGTTGAAGATCTCACGGACTGGGGCCTCTGCTAAGCGTTCCCAGCACACCCTCACTACGCTTTTAGGTGCACCGGGTCTGTCCAGCGTCCTCCCCTGCCACCTGATCCAACTCACCACCAGGTGGTGATCAGTTGACAGCTCAGCCCCTCTCTTTACCCAAGTGTCCAGAACATATGGTCGCAGGTCTGGTGATATGATTACAAAATTGATCATTGACCTGCGGCCTAGAGCGTCCTGGTGCCACGTGCACTTATGGACACTCTTGTGTTTGAACAAGGTGTTCATTATGGCCAAACTGTGATTTGCACAGAAGTCCAATAACAAAACACCGCTCAGAATCACAGAATCATAAAGACATTGGAAACCTGAAGTGACGGGGAGAAGGAAAACAGACAACCTGACAAAACTAAATGAAAACACAGACTAAATACACACAGGAGGTGATCAGGGGAAGTGGAAACACATGGGGAAACAACTGACTGGAATAAACATAATGACACCACAGGGAACGTACAACTATACACATTAAACATGGAAACACCAGATTTTTCTAAATAAAACCGGAAACATGGAGAAACGTAGACATGACAACACCAACTAGACAATTAGGACATAGAACAAGAAGAGAGACAAACGCACAGGCATAACTGAAAGTAAAACACTGAGGACAAGACAGACCACATAGAGGACAGGAAAACATTCATGATCACAAATAGTGATGCATGAGGCTTGTCAACCACAACAATGATAATACTCCTGTTAAAAATCACTGGCAGCTACAAATTGATGTTTCACATCTTTAAATTACCAAATATGTGTAGATTCCTTAATTTATCTTTTTGTGTCTCTCAGGCTGGCCATGGCTCTACTGAGCCAAAAGGTAACAGAAGAGGAGATTCAAACCATAAAAAGGTAAAATACCTTAATACTGATACTATATAATAAGAATTATTAAACCTTAGAAAAAAAATTAAATGTTATTTTACAGTTAATGATCAGAAAGTGTGTAACGTCACATTCATGTCGAGATTATATATTTCCGCTCATCTGATACTGAAGTAGCACCCGTATATGTGAGCCTTACAGTAAATGAAATGCTTTTTCTTTCACAATATTAAAATGATCATATGAATATGTTTATAACAAAGTCCTGTCTTCTAGGCTCATCATGGGTCTGCTGGGCCAGCAGATGATAGAACAGATTCAGACCATCAAACGGTAAATTATCGTTTTGAGAATTTTTAAGGTTTAGAAAAAGAAGAATCCAAAATTACTTAAAATCCAGAGAGGCTATAACATTGGCCCCAAGAATAGAGTAAAAATGTGCAAAAAGGGAGTAAACATAACTGATTATTTGTGCACAAACCAAACAAGCTTCTTTGTCCAGTGTCACACTTCTAGGGAGAAAATAAAATAAGCAACCAGATTTAAATCAAGTGCATTTTTCATCTTTTTATAGGAGCAGTCATGGAAGTTTTTGAAGAAGCTTATTTATCCTCCCTGGCCACTTTAGATACATGTGAAATACACAGAGTGGTCCATGTATATTTGGACACTGACACAAGTTTGTTTTTTTGTTTTTTTACCCGTTTACTGAAACATATTCCATCTATAGTTATATAATGAACATGGAAATAATGTGTAGACTCTCAGGTTTCATTTGAGGGTATCACATTTAAATTGGATGAAGGGTTTAGGAGTTTCAGCTCCTAATATGTCCCACCTCTTTTTAAAAGAACCAAAAGTAATTTGACAATTGACTCAAAGGCTATTTCATATGCAGGTGTGGGCAATTTCATTATGTCATTAATGTCAATTAAGCAGATGAAAGACCTGGAGTTTATTTGTGGTGTGATGTTTGCATTTGGAAGATTTTTCTGTGAGCAGACAACATGCGGTCAAAGGAGCTCTCCATGCAGTTGAAACAAGCCATCTGTAAGCTGCAAAAACAGAAACAACCCATTCGAACAATGGCTAAAACAGTCAGAGTGGCAAAATCTATGTGTTGTAATCTTAAGAAAGAAAGAAAGCACTGATGAACTCAGCAACGCAAAAAAAAAAACCCTATACGGCTACAGAAGACAACAGTGGTGGATGATCACAGAATCATTTCCGTGGTGACGAGAAACTCCTTCACAACAGCCAACCAAGTGAACAACACTCTCCAGGAGGTAGGCGTATCCATATCAACGTCTACCATAAAGACAAGACTGCATGAAAGTAAATAAAGGCGCCACTCATAAGCCTCAAGAATAGAAAGGCTAGACTGGAATTTGCTAAACAAAAAAACAAAAAAAAAACATCAAAAAAAGGCAGCACAGTTCTGGGAAAATATTTTTTGGGCACATGAAACCAAGATCAACATCTACCAGAATGATGGCAAGAAAAAAGTATGGA